TCATGCGAGATCCCAGATCCGATGAGAACCTAGATCTGGGTTCTCCAAGAGGGGGGAAGAGAAGGAAGAAAAGGGGAGGAGAGGGAAAAAAGAAGAAAAAGAAAGGGGGAGGAGGCAAAAGAAGGAAGAAGATAGTTTTGATCTTAGGTTCTAGACCGTAATCACCTACTAGGAATTTCGAAGGAGCAAACGAGCTTGAGGAGAAAGAAAAGGAGAGAGAGAACCCATATCAAGTTCTCACTGTGAGAGTGTAATGGAGATTAGCGGAGTGTGGGGGCTAATGGAAAAAAGAATGTATATAACGGAGTGTGATACGGTTGAGTGTAAGCGAATCATTGTCCTTAAACTTTACATAATAACTAAATATAAATTAACCCGTTGATATGTACCTAAAAAAAAATTAACCTGTTGATAGCATTTTAACTAGTAGGAAGTATAACCCTTAAGGCATGGCTCAATGGTTAATAATTTGAAATTTCAAGTTAAAAATTTCAAATTTGAATCTTAAGTTGGGTGATAATAGATCTAGGGAAAAAAAAAAGGTTATTTCTTTTTGTATAAACCATTATTATTAGATGTACTAAAAAAATTAATAAGAACTATAACAACATTTTCATCTAATCCTAACAACTAATCATAACAACTCTAACCAATAAAAACTTGGCCTAGTTAGTAAATACTAACTAAAAAATCTTAATTCAAAGTTAAAATATATTCAAATCTTTGTATCGCTAAATGACTAGCTATCCGATAAACTAAAAAAAAATCATAACTCTAATAACTTAACCCTAACAATTAATCATAACAATATGAGAATATCACGATTGCAATCTTCTGCCGCCTCTTTACTTTCCGTTGTATATATGTATGTTGTAGATTTTTGTATTTTCCTACTCTACATGTAAAGATCTTAATTATAGTAGTAAAGTACAATTGAAAGATCATAATTACATCATCATAGAGTAATGGTAAGATCATAATAAAGACATTGAGATAGTGAATGGGTAACGATCACATCCAGCTATACCTCAACAGAGTTGGGGAAAACTTGACATTGAATTAGACCTAATGAAATCACCGGAATTGAAATTTTTATGGATTTAATAATTCTTTTGATAAGATCTTAAGATTGAATTTATCAATAAACAAATATTATTTCATGTGTTAAATTTATCATTGATTTCTTGAGATTAGTATTTTAAAAAAATGATAAAAATGCACCATTAAAATGACTTAGAAAAAGACTAATCTTGAGGTTTATAGAATAGAAATGGACTTCCATGATTGTGATGTGAGTTGGTAAACAAGTGGAAGCACGGATTCAATTACTCCCTGTTCCATCTATATGTTGGTTGTGGTTGCATTGATGTGATAGTCACTCCACCATGCCAACTCTGGTGTTTTTTTTTTTTTTTCAATACAGAAGAATACACTGCCGGCCTAGTGAAATCTCACAAATGGATATTGTAGTTGTGCCAGTAGGAGGAGGAGGACCCATGTTTTCTGCCCAAAAGTCAAAAATGGCAACACGCTCCACTTCAGGGACCATCTCAAATTGGTTGTGCTTCCTTTTCAGTTTTTTTCAATTAACTTGCCACAACGGATACGTCATGCTTATCTCTCAACTAGCCTTGTTCATAAAAAAATAAATAAATAATGGGTTTATCTTTTATTTTAATATATCAAATAAAATATCCTCAAAAAAAATTATATCAAATAAAATATTTATTAAAAATTTATTATATATAATATAAAATTAAATATAAATAAATTTAAAAATATAATTATATAATATGCATGAATTAATTAAATCAGTAATATTTATATTATATTTTAATAACTATACTGGATAAATATTAAAAAAAATATGTTGAACTAAATATTATGTCAATAATTTTTTTAAAACAAAAATGCACCTGTTCTAAGTTTTTTTTTTTGAAATTTTATTTTACAATTTAAATTATTTAAAAATATAATCATATAATATGCATGAATTAATTAAATCAGTAATATTTATATTATATTTTAATAACTATACTGGATAAATATTAAAAAAATATGTTGAACTAAATATTATGTCAATAATTTTTTTAAAAAAAAATTGCACCTGTTCTAAGTTTTTTTTTTGAAATTTTATTTTACAATTTAAATTATTTTAAATTATAAAATAAGAATGATTAGATATTTAATATTAAACAAAATATAATTTGATACAGTTTAAACTACATTATAATTTTTTTTTTGTAAAACTTGTAACAGGAATATTCTCCATGCTTTATATTACATAAGTCGAAAAGCAAATAGATTTGAAAACATTTTGATAATTTTTGAAAAGAGGTCTGAAGTTTCTAATTGATTTCCTTTACACAATCGATTTTGTAATTAATTAATATCGCACGTCTAAATCTATTAATTTCATACAATGTACGGGATCATTTTTACACTTTTTAATACACCCATCAACCTAAATAACTTTTTTAAAAGAAAAATTAAAAAAAAAAATTAGTAGGTGTCAATTTAGTTTGGATATCATCAATCAGCCTACCTATAAGGATAGATGCCAGTTGTCAAGTTGGATTGAGATTACTACATTGAACCTTCGTTTTCTGTGGTCACTGCTCATACTTCTTGAAAGGATTGGCCGGAGAAGCCCTGTAAAGTAAAACCCCACCACTGAAGAATCATTACAAGTTAGAAAGAGAGAATGATTACAAACGTAGTCTTGAGGGGGTGACCCGTTTTCAAAGAATTATAATTTTGAGGATCATTTTTCTACTACCATCATGCTGTAAAAGAGACAAAAAAAAAAAAAAAAAAAAAAAA